GTTTGAACAATAATAACAGTGTACATTTCTTATTTATCCTTCTTGTTGACTATCTCTGCATGTTTGTTAAGTCTAGAACGTCAATCTCAGCCTCCACTAATTGTATTATGTACTTCAAACATGCTGCGTTTATATACACCAGCCAAATAGACCAAATCGTACCACAAAATAGGAAATAACATTTGTACAATATTTAGCCAAAAGTAGCTGTGAATGTGGGAGACCGTATTGAATAGACTGGACATAACTCAAGAATGGGAAATGGTTGTCTGTAGGTCAAAATGAAGCTCATACTACGTGAAATATGAAGATGCATAATCTACATGCTCAATAGTTATATGGTCATATTAGTCCATTCATAGTTCACAGAAGTTACCAGTAATTTAATCATCACTAGGATATAACATTAACTGTTTGGTTTTGTTTACTATGTATTTATTCCTATTGAGATCAATCGATCCTTCTAATTTCCTCAAGAATTTACTTAAAACTAAACTGTGAATTGTTCAATAATACGACAAAAAGTGTTATCGATAACATGTAACCTATGCAGTGATGTATGCTACTGATATCGAAAGATATTAGTAGTGTGTAATATCAATCAGTATTGAAAGTTAAGAAGATCGAAGGAAAAAGAACAAAATGTGATGTGGAGTAGATATGAAAGCACAATGAAGTCTAAAACAATTGATTGACATTTTTCAAATGACGTATTTATGTATGGTTCTAGGAGAATTACAAAAGCCACCATCCAGAAGATACAAGTGATTACTAACAGTTATCTATGCAAAATATTTCACATCTGTTGGCCAGACACTATCAGCAACAATCTACTGCGAGAAAAAGTAGGATTAAGGATAAATCAACTGTCATTATCTCGATCTTCTTAACATATTTTTTAAAGAAATATTCTTCAGAGGATGGAGAAATTTGAACACTTCACATCCGGCTGTAGTTTGTACTGATGATATTGTAGAGAAGAACGATGAAAGCTTCATGACCAAATCATCCAGCTCGGAGAACAAAACTCCATCAAAAAGGAAAATATTCTTCAACTTAAGATTTTAGTTGAAAATTCATTTGGAAATATAAATACTTAATTATCATGAGCTCATTATGATTAAAACAGTTCGAGTATTGTAGGATAAAATAGAGAGTGTTTAGCAGTGGAATATAGTTTGACGCGCGTTTCGTTCTATTTATGAATCTTCAGATGCTTATACCTTCATGACCAATTTGACGTTCACTCCGGAATTTGAATCAAGTACCGTTTTAGTGGCCCGTTGATCTGACTCCAATCAGATCGTATGAATGTTTGTCATCGCCTATCCTCGTATATAATCATCGACTTTAATCGCGTTAGTCAATGACGGAATTAAGTAAGTCAAATAATGAGAATGGACTTTTGAATACATATATTTTGTATATGTAACGAATAGAATAGAGAGATGCGCTGTGAAGATTGCGGGTAAACCAACTCTTATTTAACCAAGCGTTAATCAATATTTATAGTTAAACAAAAATAAATTACAGACATGTTGATGAGTAATGGGATAAGAAGTATACACCCACCTATGCGCTCATATAAAAACAGCCAAGATTGATAAGCGAATAAATAACAAGGTCAGAATGTAACTCAAGTAGAATGAATAGAATGGGCTGTCCGAAAGCAAGAATAAAGTTTATGGGCTTAACATAATAATTGACACTAAACCGTTCGCTTCCAACACCATCGCACTATCTACTATACTGATGAGACCTGATAGCCACTTGCTTGTACAACTGGGTGAAGTTTAAATTCGCTCAGTTTAATTGAATCTTTCCATTCTTATTTAGAACCGCAACTGATCAGTATCTTGTTGACATATGTACGTACTGTGTGTATTGCCTCGAAACTTCTTTTAATAACAAGCATTGTAAACAAAGGTTGGCAGTGGATAGTAGTGGAATCCAGTGCGAGCGATTTTAAACCTCAAAGGGAAGATTCAAGTATATAAAATCAAGTGAATTTGCTTCAAATACTGGTTACAAACTAACCATTATATCACTTATTATTATTATTTATTATTTAAACACATAATAATTGGTGAATGAGGCACGAAATATATATGCGTCACATGAATCATTCGTTTTGTGAAGGCTAAGTTACTGACGGAGTGTCCAAAACAAAACAGGCGATCTTCTTATGGGATCACACCAGGAGCCTTTGACCTACAGGTTTAATCCACAAGGTAGTGGTACAACATAAAGAGATGAGTTTACATGGCAACCGGTTACTGATAATTGGTTCATATATGCCACTTGTTCACTCAGGATCCTGGAGTCCCTGTACACCATTGGTTTGGAATCAGGGTTTTCCAATCCTGTAGGTGGATTCTCCATACCCATCAACCCGGTTAAAGCATCAGTTATTCGCTTTTTGTTCTTTCAATCTCGTGAAAAACACCACCACTGCGTGACAGCAGTGAATAGAACTTCCTTGTCATTGGTAGTATGTACGTGACCAAATAAGAGTATTTCTTAAGGGAGAGCTAACTCTCCCCACTCTCGTTCGTATTAGGGCATTCAGGGGGGCTTATTATCATTGATTATTAACAATACCGCAACATTCTCGATTATTCAATTATGAACATAACATTTTTACAAAAAATGTTATTAAAACAAAAAACAGAGGCAAATGTCTTGGAATTCCTTCATATTAAACTGGCCTTATTTAGTTTACATCAATTAGATCTATTCAATTGTTCAATTAATTATGAAATAAGATATAAAACACAAAATGGAATGAATGAAACAATCAACCTTTTTAGGCTTCATTAAGAAAAATTTGAAAAAGACAAAACACAATCAACTCAGATTTTCATGATAAACTAATTTACATCTGTAACCGCACTCATGGAGGAGCATAGGCCATATCAGATGCCCTGGTATGGTCGAGAATGGAGAGAGTCTGTTCTCTCGGTCTCGAAATGCTCTCATATGGCCACGCGTATATAGCCTCTGCCAAGGAAGTTCTACTCACTACCTTCACGTGGCGGGGATGTTGTTTACAAAATTGAGAGGACAATAAGCAAATGTCTGGCGCTTTAACCGGGTCAGTGGACACGGAGAGTCCACCTAGGGGAGTTGAAAAACCTTGATTCCAAACCAGTGTTGCACATGGTGTATGAAAAAATCGTTGGTCACAGACTACCATGTGACTGCATCTCCTTGCAAAGCTCTATTGCCTTGCAGAACAGACCTTTAGATCGGAAGTTTTTAGTGTGTCCCCCTCAGAAAAATACCTGCTTCGGTTTGGGCACCCGGGCGGTATCACGGCCCCCACACAAATCTAATGAGATTTGTGTGGCGTATATTTATCTGGTACCCCCTTTTATAAATATCTATGTGTTCAAATAAATAAAATAAATGTTCAGAATAATGTTTTCCAGTTCTTCCCAGTTTCCATTCAACTTTTACGTGTGTGATTCAAATTCTCAACGTAATGTGTCATTTGACCTTACACTTTTCCGTTTCTATTCAGAATTCCAAGTTAGTGATTGATTCATGATGCAGTTTGATGATTTCAGCAATGTTTTTCTCATACACTTTCAACATCTCCTTATTCACTCTTCAGCTTGAAAAGTAGTTTGTCCTCTTCCAAAATCGGCTGTTGCTAATGTTGTCAACATCAACGGACATTGAATATCCTACACAGACAATTGTTTATAAATATTTGTACCTTTTTGATGATGATTGTGGTAGTTCTGGGCGTTTCAGCTCCATAGACTTAATTTATCTTGACGTTCGTATAAACGATTCTGACTTTGATATTAGTTGACAGACAGTTATCTTTAGTTCCATATCGTCTTCAAATCCAAGAGTGCTGTCCTTGTTTTCCCAATCCTCTCCCTTACGGCTGTGTGTTACTTTTTCTTGGTTTCACCAAAAGTATTTGGTATTATTACAACATACACTGGTGAAATAGATCATGGAAATAATGAGAAAAATTTATTATCTAGGTGAATACTTTTAGCTTAGCGTTTTGAATGACCAATCTCAGGTTGAAGCAAGTTCGCTTAATGCTTTCTGGGGTCATAAAGATCACCTATGATCTCTGTGTGGTGATCACTGTCATGTATGTCAGGTCTTTCTTGGTGCAGACTGAATTTTATCGAATAAGTTACAATGTGACCACTCATCCGAGCGATTCTAAATTGTATGCACTATGTTGAGATACGGTCTCTAACTGGGAAGATAAATGATTCGGGAACGAATCTGTTAAAAAGTATCAGTTCCCTCAAGATAAGAGGTACACTTTGATGACAAGTGCCAAATATCACGAAACCTGAATCCATGATTTCCTGTTGACTACTTCCAACCACCATCTTACTTTTGAATGAAACTATCAACATTAGGGAATCCATTGTCACTGAAACAAAGTAACAACTGGCTAGAGTGATTTTATTCAATCTGGTTCTCAACATGATGTATTGCAATATACACGGTATGGTGTTCTCCATGAATAACTGCAGTCAATCGAATATAGTTTATGACTTTACTGATTTAATTTTGGTACCGATCAGGTTGTATCCACAAGCAGTAATTCATTATAATTAGTTAGATATTAAATGATTCCATGTTTACAGTATAGGGTTGTAGAGATTATCACGTTTTGATTGAGATCATGAACCGAACGATGTTTGATCATCATTGAATGCATGTAAGTACTGAATGGCCGTTTCGGTTTAGTATGGGACTCCTCAACAGTGCATATTCACGATCCAATTATCTAACCATGTTAATATCTAACTTCAATCCTTCTTTTTATTTGTTATGAAGCAATTTCTAACTTGATTTTGTTTTTCTTTCTGTTTTTCTTTACCGGACGATTCAAACGTTGCATCATTTTTATTCATTAAATAAATTTTATTCTAACAAAAAGGAATGAAAAATTAAAAAAAATAAAGAAAATAAGTGAAAAGAAAAATCTCTAATGGAATTATTGATTATTTTTGTTTATGTTTTTGTTGTTGTTGTCGTTGAATAAATTTCCCACAAAGCATACTCTTAACATCAATATAGATGCTTATTCATGTTTATTCTCGTCTACTACTACTACTACTACTACTACTACTACTACTACTACAACTACTACTACTACTACTACTACTACTACTACTACTACTACTACTACTACTACTACTACTACTACTACTACTACTACTACTACTACTACTACTACTACTACTACTACTACTACTACTACTACTACTACTACTACTACTACTACTACTACTACTACTACTACTACTACTACTACTACTACTACTACTACTACTACTACTACTACTACTACTACTACTACTACTACTACTACTACTACTACTACTACTACTACTACTACTACTACTACTACTACTACTACTACTACTACTACTACTACTACTACTACTACTACTACTACTACTACTACTACTACTACTACTACTACTACTACTACTACTACTACTACTACTACTACTACTACTACTACTACTACTACTACTACTACTACTACTACTACTACTACTACTACTACTACTACTACTACTACTACTACTACTACTACTACTACTACTACTACTACTACTACTACTACTACTACTACTACTACTACTACTACTACTACTACTACTACTACTACTACTACTACTACTACTACTACTACTACTACTACTACTACTACTACTACTACTACTACTACTACTACTACTACTACTACTACTACTACTACTACTACTACTACTACTACTACTACTACTACTACTACTACTACTACTACTACTACTACTACTACTACTACTACTACTACTACTACTACTACTACTACTACTACTACTACTACTACTACTACTACTACTACTACTACTACTACTACTACTACTACTACTACTACTACTACTACTACTACTACTACTACTACTACTACTACTACTACTACTACTACTACTACTACTACTACTACTACTACTACTACTACTACTACTACTACTACTACTACTACTACTACTACTACTACTACTACTACTACTACTACTACTACTACTACTACTACTACTACTACTACTACTACTACTACTACTACTACTACTACTACTACTACTACTACTACTACTACTACTACTACTACTACTACTACTACTACTACTACTACTACTACTACTACTACTACTACTACTACTACTACTACTACTACTACTACTACTACTACTACTACTACTACTACTACTACTACTACTACTACTACTACTACTACTACTACTACTACTACTACTACTACTACTACTACTACTACTACTACTACTACTACTACTACTACTACTACTACTACTACTACTACTACTACTACTACTACTACTACTACTACTACTACTACTACTACTACTACTACTACTACTACTACTACTACTACTACTACTACTACTACTACTACTACTACTACTACTACTACTACTACTACTACTACTACTACTACTACTACTACTACTACTACTACTACTACTACTACTACTACTACTACTACTACTACTACTACTACTACTACTACTACTACTACTACTACTACTACTACTACTACTACTACTACTACTACTACTACTACTACTACTACTACTACTACTACTACTACTACTACTACTACTACTACTACTACTACTACTACTACTACTACTACTACTACTACTACTACTACTACTACTACTACTACTACTACTACTACTACTACTACTACTACTACTACTACTACTACTACTACTACTACTACTACTACTACTACTACTACTACTACTACTACTACTACTACTACTACTACTACTACTACTACTACTACTACTACTACTACTACTACTACTACTACTACTACTACTACTACTACTACTACTACTACTACTACTACTACTACTACTACTACTACTACTACTACTACTACTACTACTACTACTACTACTACTACTACTACTACTACTACTACTACTACTACTACTACTACTACTACTACTACTACTACTACTACTACTACTACTACTACTACTACTACTACTACTACTACTACTACTACTACTACTACTACTACTACTACTACTACTACTACTACTACTACTACTACTACTACTACTACTACTACTACTACTACTACTACTACTACTACTACTACTACTACTACTACTACTACTACTACTACTACTACTACTACTACTACTACTACTACTACTACTACTACTACTACTACTATTGTAGTGAATGACGACACACGAGACGGAACAATCAAATGTATTTCAATACAGAATTACGCAATCCCTTGGTAATATCTGAGAACTATACATTAAGAAAATAATGCTTTATTTACAATATTTCAATCAATTGTCTCCAACTTCATTGTCCCTTCGTTGCTACATCAGTCATTCTTTGTTCTTGTCCTGTTTGCTTCGATCTTCTTGACTTTCTTCCGTCAGATGTTGTGACTTTCGATTGATGACACATACTACTTATATCTATCGAGATCAGTAACACTCACCATAGTATTATCAGAGTAGAGGAATTCCGTAGAATATAATGGAGTAGTAAAATCAGTTTGTTAGACGTTTAATAAAAAAACGATGTATCAATATATTGTCTATAAGCTTTAAAGCATTTTAAAACTATACACAAAATCAATAATTCGTCAAAGATCTTTATAGTGGCCACATTGCAACATGATCGATAAAATTCGGTCTGAACTATTAAGGGCTAGACACGCATGGCATTGATCGCCACTCAGTGATCAATCAATTGTGATTACATCTCAGTCTCACAGGAGGTCAGTCGCGGCTTGGATAGCTCAGTGGTAACGTCTCTGATTGTGAAGCTGGGTGACACGAAATCAAATCCGCCAGGGAGCACCAGTTTCCTCGAGATTACAGGTACATCTTACTGATGAGTTCCAAATAGCACGAAACCCGTGTACAGGGTTTCCTGTCGACTACCTCCAACCACCATCTAATCTCAATATATAGTGCCCGCAGTGTCGAGTCATCTAGATTGGTGGCCACATTGCAACATGATCGATAGAATTCGGTCTGCAATAAGAAGGAGTAGACACTCATGACACTGATCGCCACCCAGTAGTCAATCAATTGTGAAAATCTGAGGTTCATCAATAATGCGCATCGACGATCCTGCACATGTGATTAGAAACCAGGGTCTTCGACTTCGTGTGTGAACACTTAACTTATGAATAACTGAGCTGGCCAGAATCCAACAGTGTTAATGTGTACCTGCAATCAATCCATGAAATTGTGCTACCATCCACCATCTATAGAAAATTAATACCACGCAGTGTAAAAAAATTGTCAATGACAAAACTAATCTACTTAGTCTTATTAATCTTAATTGTGAACGTTTTACTACTTACAAGTTGTTAGTAGTTTATTTATTGTAATCAAAGATGATTCATGTAAATCCAAGCATTTCAATATGAAGTGCGTTTGATTAGACTTCAAACTAGGCATAATCCACTGATCAAATAATCAAGTAACACAGTGGAATTGGAACCGAAATTATTTATCTGATTAGTGAAGTCTATTTAGTAACAGTTGAATTCTCACAATGGAATTTTCCATGGTTGTCTAGCTTTAATTGATCCATGAAATCAACTATTAAAAATTACTAAAGTATCGTCGAAACTCCATCTGAACAATGACCACCATGTGCTCACTTGTGACTGGCTTCGTGAGGTTTTTCCTGAAGTTCTAGGGAGAATTCGTGGTCAGTGTGGTTCAACCGTGTATGTCGTTGAGGCAGTAACTCAGTGAAAACAATGGTGGATTGTGCATTCTAATTGATTTAAGGCTCTTTCGCAGCAATAACTGTTTGTTGTGCATCTAACTTATTTGGAAAATAGTTAAGCATGTATATGACCCACTCAAATCTATTTTGTTTGTTCAGCTTTTAGAAGAAGAAGGATTTGTGTATCGTCCTTCCAGTGATTTAATTTTTGCGCAATCTTCAGTTATCCACATAGATTGATTTCAGAGAAGCTATGTCAAGGATTCTCACCTCCAACTATTGTTCCGTGAACCCTTTATTTACTTTGTATAATGTAATTCTCCTATCATTCGCAACTATTTATCTGGTATATGATGGTTGGTTTGACTCCAATTGTTCTTGTGTTCTTTAAATTGTACGGTATAGATTGTAAAGATTTCTTTGGTTTTGTGCGCAAACACCTAGTTGTGGAAGACTCAAATAATTCATTTTTGTGATTTTGAAGGTGTTGTACACGTGGGATAGGATAATGAATCTACTCAATACATGTTTTGTTAATGTAGTGTTTACTGATCAGTTTGATAAGCATTTCCTGATGAAGTGTTAGAGCGTGTCCTGGTTTTCAATGTCCTGAGTATTTTCTTTGCGTTTTCGAATAAAATGACGATGCCACAACATGACTTCATAATTTCAAGTAGCATGGAATGAATATATTATTGTCACGTGACAAAATCATGAATCGGAATCCCGACATTATTGAACTAAATCTAGTCATGTATATGTTCAGGAGGAGGTAGTTACCATGATTCAAATTCTTTTTAGACCTCAATTCCGTGGATTCAAACCCTCTTCTATCTCTCGATTTGAGAAGTCAGTAACAAACCTTAACTAACAATGTCTTACAAAATCAGACGTAATTCGCAAACAGACATATCAATTTCTAAAATGGAAAATATACATGAATCAGTTGGAAGGTGGTTATGATTGGAGTGAGCCGTAAAAAATAGACCGAAAAGGGATTACGGAATGATGAATTGGATAACAATATTGAGCGAGTTTTTGGAAAGATCATGTTAAATGAAGTCATCCTCTATATGTATCTATATAATCTGGACACTTAATAAGTATACAATAGAGTGATAATCGATAGTCATTCGAAGAAATAAGCTCCTCTTATGTTATCGTTTTACATTCGACGTTGACACACAATCAAATTAGACATAGAAATTCACGATTTATTTTCATAACCAAAGAGAGATGGTGCCTAACTGTGATTCATTTATGTGTATTCGATCGCAAACGCCTGGGTATCAAGATGTTTTAAGTTGAATTACACTTTCACTAAAGATAAAACATTATTCAGTTTAGGTGTTATCTAAGAATCTATATATAGTTATTTGCAATGATATCTACCTAAAGCACCCATGTATTTTGTCAGTGTCAAATGATACATCTTTTCTCTATACCTTTGAACAGTATGATAGATGAAAGGTTGCATTACATCACAGGTTTGTGTAATGATAGAAATATTAGTGATGATTCCCAAATTCTTTGGAATTTCGTCGGAATAATATTGATCACATTGCCATATGTTGAAAGTAATCATTGGACACAAATCTTATTTGATTCCGTGAACACGAAATTCAAAAACTGTGTTTCATACACATAATTCCCTGTGCAGGTTATCCATGTCATATGTGATGCTGTAGCTCATCGGAAACAATAGAGTATGGTAGCAAAATGTTGTTGCAGAGTCTCATTCTTGGACGTAACGGTCGTTGATTGCTTTCAGTTTTTCAATGTTCGTCTAACATAATTCGATTCACCACCTCAATTAATCATAATACGTGGAATATAAGTATAATTAGTAATGGTAGAAGTCAATGATGATTAGGAGTATTTGAATCATGACATCAACTTAGAATCTCAGAAACAACGCAATTTAACTAAGAAGTTCTAGATAAGCACGAAAGAATGTAATGTATTTGGAATTCGAATCAAGAAAGCAATCACGTACAAAAAGAATCCTTAGTTCATACAAACACCACAAAGCAGTAAAAACAAAAGGAATATTTACAATGAGTAAAGTGTGTGTGTGTGTTTCACTTGTATGAACAGAAGAATATAGTATTGTTCGAGAATTGAAAGTAGAATTCAGACGGATAATAGCGGAAGGAAGTGAAAAGAGGAGAGAAGATAAAACAGTTAGCAACGAAAATAAGAACGGAAATGAAAGGAGGATGGTGATTGTGAAAAAAACAATTAAAGGAAGTTAGGCAAATTATTTACATCATGTACATTTTACACATTTCAGTTATGCAGTATGTGTATTGGCATAACTTAATAAATCTGTTTACTATTACCTACTCTCTATATTAATTACAGATGTAGTATTGGTAGTGTTGATAGTGATAGATTGTCCGGTCGTTGTTAAAGTGATGCAGATAGTATAATGCATAGTAATATGTTATTTGGCATTTCAGAATCTGTACTAGTGGGAGCGTAGAATTATGGTCTACTATGATAATAGTAGTAGTGCTCTAATAATAGACTTGTATCTAAAATTGTAGATTTGTTATGATGTAACTGCCTACTCTTTAAGATCTTACATGGAAGTCATTTTGAAACGTGTTTATTTAGAAGAGGTTGCACTTTTCTCGTTCTATCTGATGATAGGTAGAGGGCATAATTTAACTAACACTTCAAAGTCTTCATTTGAATAGTTCAGTATCCATACAACTTTGATACAATTGTGATCTGTAGAAATTATTAAATAAACGATAAGAGATTACATTCACTTGATGTTTTGTTACTTGTATCTTCCCATTTTTATTTAGGAATGCAATCTATGGGTTCGAGTCCCGGAATGAACATCAACACTGCGATGCAGGTACATCTAAATGACGAATCCCAAATAGAACGAAACGCATGTCCTGGATTCCACTGCTAGCCACTATCCATCTTTGCTTGATAAGAGATTACATTTTGTGTTTATCCTAATGCTTTAAGATCCATTCGTTCATTACATGGATTATCTGATTGAAGGAATATGTTCTATAGTGTAAAATTCCTGCAAATATAGAATGCTCAAAACAATGTTTGGGTAGACAAATAAACGATTTGTTAACTCAGTTTCCATTAAAAATTACCTTGATGTTTTGTAAAATAAAACTACAACAGGTTTTTCAACTACTTATAACATTGTAATAAGTAGTCTAAAAACATCTATATAGAGTAGTAACCTATTTCGTTAAGAAAATACAAATAAAGAAAGTAGAGAATAGAAACAGCTCATTGTTTTCTTAATAACGGTTCAAGCGAAAATCTGCGAACGGTATTTGTTTTCGTTCCCAATTTCCCTGGTACGATCGAGAGTATTCAGCCACTGTCAGAGAAATCCTACTGACTGTTTTCTCGTAGCATTACTGTTGTTTACAAAATTGAGAAGATGGAAAGCGAATGTCCGATGTTTTAACTAGGTTGCTAGATACGAAAGATCTACTCAAGGGATTTGGAAAACCCTTAATAGTACTGTCTTCATCTGTATCTCAGTCAGCTAATT